CGCGGCGGCGGCGGCGGTGGCGGCGGCGGGGACGGGGGCGCGGGGCGGCCGGCAGCCCGCGGCCGGGAGACCGCAGGCGGCGGCGCAGAAACTGACACTCGGCGGCGGCCGCGGCAGCGGCAGCAACAAAAAAAAAGGAGGGGGGCCAGGAAATCAGCTGTGAGGTCACGTGCGGCGCGCAGCCAGTGGGCGCACGACCTTTTTGTTTTGATACATTCCATTCGACTCTTAAAGGGGCCGTGCGCCTCCCTGGCCGCGTTCCACTCGTCGCTCCAAACAAAACAACGCGAGCCGCATCCGCGCCTGGGACACTTTTCCCTCTTGCGTTTGACCCACAAGCAACTTTAGGCCCCCTACACGGACCCCTTCTCAAAAAGATGTAACGACCTATAGGGAATTCTAATCATCCCCTCGAAGCCACCATTTATTAAGCACTTGCTGTGTGCACAGCGTGTGCAAAGCAAAGCCCTGGTAAGCTACTGGGAGCGCTCAGTAAGGACTCCCTGAACTCAATGAAAATTCTTCTCACAAATCTGAGAAGTAGGTATGCTCGACTCCATTATACGGATGAGGAACAGAGGCCCAAGGCACACAGCTGTGATTCGAAAGCAGCAAAGGGAGAATTGGTGTTGAGGATCCCACCCGGATGCAGGTGTGGCTGGTGAGGAGGAACAATCCTGACAAGCCTTGTTTGGGATACGGGTGACATGCCAGCTCAACTCAAAAGAGGCGGAAGTGTAGGAAGAAGGCTTGAAGATCCCTGGGTCCACTCCACAGATGGGGAAATTGAGTCCCAGAAAAGGGGCAGGGACTTACTCCCAGGACTGTGGGTGTTGGTAGTGGTGGGGTTGGCAGACGTCTTTTCCGAAAGGGGACATGACCTGACTTCCCCCTTCCCTCATCTGGTTCGCATCTCCCTCCCACCCATTGCTGCTTACCAAACACATGACTGCAGGTTACCTTTTCCCAGTTTGTGTATTAAGATGTAAGCTTGAGGGCGCCTGGGTGGCTCAGTTGGTTAAGCGACTGCCTTCGGCTCAGGTCATGATCCTGGAGTCCCAGAATCGAGTCCCACATCGGCTCCCTGCTCAGCAGGGAGTCTGCTTCTCCCTCTGATCTTCCTCTCATGCTCTCTACCATTCTCTCTCTCTCTCTCTCTCAATAAATAAATAAAAATCTTTAAAAAAAAATAAGCATTTAAAAAAAAAAGATGTAAGCTTGAAGTTCATTCCCATGTGACCACTACCCAAATCACAGCAGAGAACGCTTGTGGTTCCCTCGCTCCCTTCAGTCCGTGCCCCACCCTTGGAGGTAAGCACTGTGCTTGACTAATTTGATTTTCCTAAAACTTCACATAAACAGAATCATATAGTATGTACTTTTTAGTGTTCAGTTTCTTTTGTTCAACATTTCTATCTATAAGATTAATCCATGTTGTTGTATCTTTTTCATTGCTGAATGGTATTCCATTGTGTGCGTATACCGTAATTATTTTATTATTCTTATTTATTTAATTTGTTTAAGTAGGCTCCACACCCAACGTGGGGCTTGAACTCAAGACCCTGAGATCAAGAGTCACATGCTCTATGGACTGAGCCAGCCCAGCGCCCCACCATAATTTATTTATCCACACACCTGTTGGTGGGCATTTGTGTTGCTTTCAGGTTTTGACTATTATGAGTAAATCTTGAACACCTCTTCTGGTGTCCCTACTCTAGCATTCCTGTTGGGTGGCTACCAAGAATGCTGGGTCTTACAGAAGGTGTAAGAGAATTTGCCAGACCTTTTATGAGACCAAATTATGAGAAATTGCCAGACCTTTTTCCAAAATGGCTGCACCATTTTATGATCCTAAGAACAAATTTGAGAGTTCCATTTGGTGTTGTCATCCTTTCAACTTTAGCCATTCTGATGAGTGTGAGGGGGTCTTTTGGTGGCTTAAATTTGTGTTTTCCTGATGACTGATGATGTTGAGCCTTTTTCAAATGATTCTTAGCCATTTGCATATCCAATTTTTTAAATTTTTTATTGTTATGTTAATCACCATACATTACATCGTTAGTTTTTGATGTAGTGTTCCATGATTCATTGTTTGTGCATAACACCCAGTGCTCCACGCAGAACGTGCCCTCTTTAATACCCATCACCAGGCTAACCCATCCCCCCACCCCTCCTCCCCTCTAGAACCCTCAGTTTGTTTTTCAGAGTCCATCGTCTCTCATGGTTCGTCTCCCCCTCCGACTTACTCCCCTTCATTCTTCCCCTCCTACTATCTTCTTTTTTCTTCTTAACATATATTGCATTATTTGTTTCAGAAGTACAGATCTGTGATTCATCAGTCTTGCACACTTCACAGCGCTCACCATAGCACATACCCTCCCCAATGTCTATCACCCAGCCACCCCATCCCTCCCACCCTCCACCACTCCAGCAACCCTCGGTTTGTTTCCTGAGATTAAGAATTCCTCATATCAGTGAGGTTATACGATACATGTCTTTCTCTGATTGACTTATTTCACTCAGCATAACACCCTCCAGTTCCATCCACGTCGTTGCAAATGGCAAGATCTCATTCCTTTTGATGGCTGCATAATATTCCATTGTGTATATATACCACATCTTCTTTATCCATTCATCTGTCGATGGACATCTTGGCTCTTCCCACAGTTTGGCTATTGTGGACATTGCTGCTATAAACATCGGGGTGCACATACCCCTTCGGATCCCTACATTTGTATCTTTGGGGTAAATACCCAGTAGTGCAATTGCTGGATTGTAGGGTAGCTCTATTTTCAACTGTTTGAGGAACCTCCATACTGTTTTCCAGAGGGGTTGCACCAGCTTGCATTCCCACCAACAGTGTAGGAGGGTTCCCCTTTCTCCGCATCCCCGCCAACATCTGTCGTTTCCTGACTTGTTAATTTTAGCCATTCTGACTGGTGTGAGGTGGTATCTCATTGAGGTTTTGATTTGTATTTCCCTGATGCCAAGCAATGTTGAGCACTTTTTCATGTGTGCATATCCAATTTTATGGAGAACCTCTTTAAGCATTTTGTGCATTCATTTTTCTTCTTTTTGATTTATTAGAGGTTTTTTTTTTTCATAGCTTGGTTGTGAGTCCTTTGTCAGATATATTTACTGACAATATCCTAGCAGAATTTCTTTTTAACAAGAGTGCATTATATCATGGAGTTTGGAACCAAAACAAGGCTGAGGAGTGAGTTATTATGTACAAGGAGACAGAATTATGTACAACGGGTCAGAGGGGGCCTTGACCTCAGCTGAGTCACAGCTGGCTACAATCCTGAGCAAGCAAGATGTGACCTCGTATATGTCTCAGGTGACTTCTTTGTCTCCAAAGAACTTGCTTCTGGAAAGTCCATGAACAGGCCATTCTGTTTCCCACTCTGAGCCTTTGCTTGTGTTGTTGCTCAAACATCACCGCCTCCAGGAAGCCCTCATTGATGCTTCCCAATCAACCTGGGTTCAGGGGAGATTCCTCTCTGAATGAGTCCCTGTCAGAGTCCAGTGCACACCAGGCCTAGCAGAAGAGCCCAGAATCCTCCCTGTTTTTGACTCCTTTCTTTCTCTCCTAGCTTTCAGTGTCTATTAGCTTGCTGAGGTCTTTAAAACTTGCAGAAGTCCTTTGTGAAACAAGGCGGTAGATCAATAAAAGGTACAGTGAGCAATTAATATACACCAAGCTGAATGGATTTGCTTTATCTTTTCACCCCAGAGCATGCTGGCCATGAAGGAGACCTTGGGCATGGGTTGCTGAATGACTGTGTGAAAGTTAGAAAGAAGTTAGAAAGCAAAACTGGGTAGATGAGCCCTGGGTGCTTAAAGCCCCTGTGGCTGGGACCTGGTGGGGCCACATGGAGACCAGGTCCTATCTCTAAGGATATCATTCATTCAGTCAATTAGTAATTCACTTAGCAAATATGTAGTGAGCACCTACTGTTGCCTGGCACTATTCTAAGGGGACACAACAAAACAGACCAAGCTCCTTGTCTTTCAGGAGCTTACATTCTAGCAGAGAGAGAGACAATAAGCAAGGAAAGACCATACATGGTCCATCTGATGGAGACAAATGCCCCAGAGATTCAGCCAGGAGGGATGTGGGGCATGCTTCTGGAGGAACCTTCAGCCAGGGTGGCCAGGACATACCTCAACTGACTTGGGGGTCTTTTAATGAAAGATTTGAAGGAGGTAAGAAAGTGAGTCAGGAGATGTTGTGGGGGAAAAGCGGTCAAGGCAGAGACAGCAGCCAGTACAAAGGCCCTGTGGTTGTTTAAAGAACACACTGAGGCCAGTGGGGTGACGCATAGTGAGCTGGGGAGACTGAGGGGCCTGGGGGATAGATTGAAGGTCCTCGCTGGCCACAGCGGGGCCTTTGGCTTTGATTCTGAGCCAGGAGGGAGCTACGGGAAGGTTTTGAGCAGATCACGGATGCAATCTTAAGTTTTTGTTTTTTCTTTTTAATATTGGAAAATTTCAAATATACAGTATGTATAAATACATTGAATAGTAACATGAAGCCCAAGGTACCCAGCATGGTTGAACTTTTCATTTGGGGTTTTTTTTTTTTTTAATTTAAAACATTTCAGGTCATGCTTACAT